TGGGTTTGCTGATGATAACATCCAAAAATAATTATTTCAACGATGATAAGTCAATAACTATATTAATGACTGATTCATCAATAATTTATATAAAAATTATATTTAAATAAGTTTTCAATGAAAAAAAATTAATAACCTACAATTACTTTGCTATTACTTAAACCTGTTTTTCACTAAAAAAAACTCTGTAGACCAGAGTTTTTTTAAAAAGTATTAGCATTAGCAGTTTTTTTTTGAGTAATTCAATCCAAACAAGACTACAAGCAACTACTGTTAGGTTGGGAGTAATTATATAGCAAAGAAAAAAATCAGCTTGTGCCAGTGTTACATGCATCAGTTTACTTTTTAGGGATAACAATAAAACAAATGTGTATAGCAGTGACTTATTCCCACACCCCACCCTCAGGGCGCCAGGACCCGAACCTTTTTCTTTAGCCCTTTTGAGACTTGTTTTTTTCGAAAATGATAAATTTCTGAAATGTATTAAAACAAACTGCCAGTGTTACATGCATCAGTTTTACTTATTAGATTGACAACAAGTGTATGAATGTATACAGCAGGGGTAACTTGGCGCAAGAGGAAGGGGTAAAGATACAAAAAGCTGTTATTAGTACTTAAAAAGGTCCTTTTTTTAACATTTCTTTAGTTTTTTCAATTGTGAGTACCAGTGGCCATTATATGCCCCAAATGGTGTTCCTCTACCAGCAATTTCTACCTCAGCCATAATTGAAATTTATAAATTTAAAAATAACAAAAAATATTGTACTCAAATTAAACTTTTAAAAAAATTAAAAATTTTCTAATGCATTCAAGAAAACATTACAAAATATTACAAATAACAAATTTTAAAATTATTAGAATGAAATAACATACATAATTTTGTCAAACCTTGACATGTAACTAAATTAAAATATAACAGAAAAACAGTAGCCATATTTTAATATTATTATTATAATGTATTTAATTATATATTTAGTTCATATTACATGTGTATATATATATATATATATATATATATATATATATATATATATATATATATATATATATATATATATATATATATTACTTTTGAAAGAATTTAGATATATTATGGATAATATGATCAGTCCAACAATCTACTATAGCATATTTATATGCACAATTGCTAACATATAATTGCTATATATATATATATATATATATATATATATATATATATATATATATATATATATATATATATATATATATATATATATATATATATATATTTAAATAGATTAAATTGAAAACCTAACTACTTAGTAGAGAAACTGACATTGATTGTCATTTTTTGTCAAAACATTAAAGGTAGTTGGTAATTTAACTGCCAGTTCTGCACAGCCATTAACCACTTTCATGGCACGAACTATCTTACAAGTAGACTTGTGGTCATTACGATTAGCCCATGTTTTAGGAGACAATGTCAAGAATTTTTTTGGTAGATTGAGAGAGTCAAACAAATTCATTGAGTGTCATGTATCAAAGTTAGCTAGAGAAAGTTTAGAGAATGTATAAATCTTGTTTGGAGATAGTCTTCTATTGTCACCTGGTAATGATTCTTTTTGTAAGACATTAACAAATTCCATTTTCTCTTTAACAGAAACTTTATCACTGAATAATAGGAGAGCAGCTAGATCTTCACTTAAATACTATAACTGAAATTTTATTTTATTTTTTGCAACATTTGCAACTTTGCTGGTAAAGAGCTAATCTTCCAAGTTCTTTATAATCATGACATGGTTGTGCTTCCTTTAAGTATTTTTTTAAATTTTCCACCACTTTGGATTTTTGAGATGCAAGCCACTCTTTTTTAAACTTTGAGGGCATCTAGTTCCGCTTTTATTATTTTCAAGTGGTTTAAACTTTGACTTTTCTATTAGCTTCCGGTGGGGTTTCGCTTGACCAAAAAGTTCGGTGTTTTGTTCTTTTGATACAAAAAAACGCATCAAACACTGCATTTGCACAGATTTCAAGAATATGATGTCGATAGACGAAAAACAAAACGCTTTGATTCTTTATACTTCTGTATGACAGTTATTGCCATATTATGACTTTCTGTATTATTTGCAGTTGTGTCAAAGCAAAGACCTGCAAGATGCTCCTCGGTGCCAGGCCATTCATGAACGAACTCAACTACCTTTTGTCCCATTAGAGCGCCAGTAGCAACAGGTATCCCAGGGATTCCTAATAATTTTTCAATATCCAAACCAGATACAACAATTAGCAGACATTCACATCTGGTTCTACCAACATTCAACAACATTTTACTATCAAAATGAGCAACTAGTGGAACCAAGGGTAGAAAATTTTTTCTTACTGCTATTGCAAGACATTCACGGGATGTAGTTCGAGCTTCCATTAGAGTGGAAGATGAAAATGTTAATTTATTTACATCAATACCGATTGCAGCTAGGGCTGGTGTGACAACCATCATTGGTTGTCGTGGTGATATTTTTGTTCGGTCTAATGCTGCATGAAAGAGTTGATTGTCAAGAACACAACGTTTGGATATTGTAATTGCGAGTTGACTAATGCCCATAGAGTAATGTTTTGAATTATTTAGATGATAAGAAGGTTTTTGTGTTTGAATTGATATATCACAGTCAAAATTTTCATCCAAAGAGTAATCTGAATTGTAATCCATTAATATATCTGTAAATATAACTTTACTTTCTTTATATTGTTCAAAGCGCCTTTTTTCTTCAAGTTTTCTGTATTTTACGACTGCTTTTTTTATGCATTAAGTCTTCTGATATCATTAACATTTTTCGGGGACCTCTCTGGTCTATCAGAAATTGTTTATCTTCATTTATTTTGATGAGACAATTCCATTCACCATGGGCAATATCAAAAAGTGTATTTATCTTGGCATTAAATTTTTCTTGATAGCTATGTTGAGTAGCTGATTTTCTACTTCTGTGCTTAGACAATTGAACATGTTGCTTGTGAATACTCTTTTGTTTAGCAATTAAATGAGGCTTTGCTATAGTTGGAATATTAGCCTTAGGCCAGAAAATCATAACTTCATCTGCAACTGTGTTGCAAGATATTGAAAGAGTTGACTTTTTTATTATTATTTCATAAAAAAACTCTACATAGGGCAACACCACTTGTTGGCAACTGACTTGGCCCATCTATTGTTGAGATATGTCCAACTGGTCAAACATTTGTAGTTGGGCATGTTGCTTTGTCTGAAGCAGCTATCTTATAATATATTTATACTTTTTTACTATAATAGAAAGAATATAATAGAAATTTAAAGATATAAAGTGCTCAAAGTCAATTAATAAAACAACTAAGTCTTAGATGTTACACCCTGCCACTTCTATTTACCTACATTTTTCAATAATGAAATCAAAATATGCATTTAGGAGCGATTTTTGGTAAATAATGCTGAGGGGGGCAAATCTAAACTTGGTTGTACTTTCCAGTCTTCTGTGAACTATCTATGTTGTAACTTTATATTATTTATTTTTAGATTAATTTATAGCAGTATTTTGTATGAAATAAAAATAGGAATACAAGATTGGGTTTTTAGACATTTTTGGTCAATTTAGGGTTCTGAAATAGGGTTTGGGGGACCACTTCCCTTTACTAGTTTGCAAAAAGGAGACAAGAAATTCAATGGAATTTGGACTCTTTTTAACATTTGTACATAATTATTTAGTTCTCAGCATTTAAAAACTTCAAGGTTGATTTATATAGAGCAAATTTTCCATACTTAAGGAAAAGGTGTTTTGTCAAAAAATTATCAGTTTTTCCAGCACAAAAAATGCAATAACTTTGGATCCACTTAACTTCTAAAGTTCTAGAACCTTTAATTTTTAAGTTTTTTTTAGCTTTATACAACCATGTTAATCACAACCCTCGGAATTAGGGTCGGCATTTAGCAATGCTGACCTAACTACTGACCTAAACGTGTTTGCGGTCGGCAAAAAAAATTCGGTTTTGCCGACCTCGTTCCAATGTTTTATGGTAAGACCTTTGTATTTGCCGACCTGATGCCGACCTCTAAAAGATTAGGTGGGCAAATTATTGCAGACCTCAATTTTCCTAATTCCAAGGGTTGTAATCATATATAAAAATGTTGACAAAAAAAAATCCTGTTAAATAGCTACCTCAAGGTGACTGATTAACTATAAAAAAAGATATGAGAGTGAAGTTCATGAAAATTACATGTTTTTTGTCAACTAAATATTTTTTGTTGCGTCATGGAATTGATAATTTTATCATGTCAATTTTATCAAGTCAGTCAATTATAATCAACTTCTTTTTTTATTTAAAAAAATATATAGTATAATAATAAACAAAACCAAGCAAAAAAAAATCTTTTTTAAAATATACAAATGATAACTTTTCATTTGTACTGCTCTGTCTTGCACTTCAAAAAAATATAGTAACACTTTATAGCAAAAACATTAATACATTTACAATGTAAAATTGAATGCAAAAAGAATCATAGTTTTATATAAAGACATGCTCTCAGGTCAATGGATCTAATATATTTTATATAAAGACATGCTCTCAGGTCAATAGATCCCTCGATCAAAAATTAGTATCAGATCTTTATTCTTATATTTATTATGAATCTTAAAGCAATTTCCATATGCTCAGCACAGATTCTACAAAGCACTAATCCTAAAATGTCATTAGTAACAAAGTGACAATTTTAAATTACTTTCTGCAGTAATATATAATACATTACAAATACTTTAACACTAATGCTATTTGTGTTATAATACTTGTACTTTTGAAGCAGTAAAGTCAATTAAATACAAAATTATTTGATATTTTGCGTTCATTCTGATACGAATAACTCTTTAATATAAAATCATAAACTTCAGATTGAATAACTAGATCAAAACATGTATATAAAAAATATAAAAACATTAACACGCAAGTGTTACTTAGATTGATAAAAACAGCCTCTCATAACATATATTTAAAAAACACATTAAAGTAAAAATATAAACTACCTTTAATATAGATCCTTTTAAAAAAGGCAATTCATCTTCGTTCGACGACTGAGGATTAAAGTCGTGAAGGGCAATAGCCTCCATTGCGTTAGTTACAAACTTATTCGACAGACTTTTTTTAGCTTCTTTTCTACAAAATCTCTTACTTTAAATTAGTCAAAAACTGGCTCTTAAATAAATCATTACTCGTGGTCAAACATTCTTAAATAAAAAATCAAATCAAAACAAAGATAAACAACAATAATACTATCAAAACGCGAGTATCATATTTCCGATTAATTGAAACTTGCTGATGTGGAGTTGTTGTTTTTTTAGTTTGTGTTTTATTTTCTTTGCGTTAGTAATAAAGAAAGTTAAAAGCTGTTTATATTAGATAATTTGATTTTAAAAGAAAAGCTGTTTCATAACATTTTATTTCTAAAATTTTATTTCATTTGTTTTTAATTATCAAAAATAATACTTTTTTTATAACATTTAACACCTTTTATAAATAGCGGAGGAGGCTGTATAACTCGTGTGTAGTCGTGTGTATTTTGTGTAATTTAAGCTAAAATTTTATATAACAACTAAAAAAATTAGATTTAATTAAACTTTTACTTTAAATAATTAAGTAAAAGTTGAATTAAATCTAACTTTTGTTGCTTCAAAATTATTTTTCCACATATTTTCTAATATTTTTATACTTCATATTCTTTACTACATTTTTATATTTCATGTACTTTTTTTTATGACATCTTTAAACACCGAAATTGTGTTTGGCTTACTACGTGTTTTTTTTACCATATTGATATTGACTTATTTTAAGTTCATATTCTCAGTAAGATTAATTTTTTTCCTTTTAAGTAACTCTGCAGTTTTTCCTTTGACCGACACAAGAATTTATTTTATATATAATCACAGATATTACAGGTAAACTGGTGCTTAAGGAAGGGGTAAGTTGCACACACCTAAGGGTAATCTATTTACAATTATTAATGTAAAAAACTTAACTTTTATATTTTTTTTTTACTGTATGATTGGATTTATTATTGAAAATAAATTTCAGAATTTATTATCTTTATGTAAAAAAATTTTTTTTTTTTTTTATATTTGACAACATTTTTAATGGCAAGATTTGATGGCTATATTATTTACGGTGATAAGACTATTTTGTCTTCATCTTGCCCCCGCCATGTGAATATTTTACAAATACAAGCGTTGTAATTATTTTAAACGGCAAATTTAGAATAAAATAAAATTTAAAAAATGAATAGTAATAAATTGTTTTGTACTTTTTATAAAAAAAGTTTGTATAAATGTTAACGCTAGGCTACACAAACATAAAAATGTTTGTGTAGCCTAGCGTTAACACCCACAAAATTTTTTTTTGTGAGAGTTGGTTTATTAAGGAATAAACCTATTAAGGAAAAAATTCAAATAAATTCAAAATTAAAATTAATATTAAGAACAAACTTCTAATTATTTTTTTTTAATATTCATTTTTATTTTTCAGTCCTTTCATCTTTGTGGGATAAAAAAAATACATAATAAAACTTTTATGATTGTTTGAAATATAAAAATTAATTTAACATTACAAAATTACTTTATATTTTTTTTTTTTTTTTTTTTTTGGTAGTATTTTGAACTCAAAAATGTTTTTTTTTTTTTAATTCCTGGTAACGAAAGCTTTTTTTTATATTTTAGATAGCAGCATGGTTGTGCAACATTTCTACTTGCATGGTCACATGATATGTATTTGGCAAGTTTATGGACCAAATCTGGTCCATAAACTTGATGTTTTTCAAAATTGAAGAACTTATTGATGCTATAGCAAATTCAAAATAAACATATGTGGGTTAAACTCGATTGTTTAAAACTGTTTTGAAATAAGATATTAAAAACCAAAGTTCTGAAACTAATAAAAATAATATAAACTTTTGTAAAATCCAAAAGTATTTTAGTATTTTTGATAGTATTTTTGATTATATTGGTTTTGTTTCGTTACGAATAGATTTTTTTTTTTTCCTTTTTTTTTTTTCGTTGTGTTAAATACATCTAATAATATTTCCATTTAAGGTATATAAACTTAATTTGTTTTTTGTAAAAAATATACATGCTTTCAGTTCAGCAGGGTGTATGTTTAACATACACCCTGCTGTACTGAAAGCATAAATCAACTATTGCATCATTAATAAATGATGCAATAGTCTATTTTTGTGAATGGTGTAAGAAAGTGCATAAATGACGTAAGGGAAGCCATTAACGTAAAATTAGCAAAATTTTGAGAATAAATGTAAGTTAGAAAGTTTTAGGTATGGCTTTCTTTTTTTTAATTTGTTTTTTAAACGCCACAAATGTACGAAACAGTAGGCATTGAAAAGCCATCAGAGTACAAAACAGTAAAAATTAAAAAACTCAAGACTTAGTAGCTTCATGATGATGTCACGTTTAGTAATTTTTCTCGTCTTTTTTAACAACGTGGAATCTAAACGTATGTGGAATCTATCAGATGATTATTAGAGAAAAAAGGGCAAACATTAATTCAACATTTATACCAACTCGTTGTGGGTTATACTCAATGACAATACAACTAATGAAAATACATCTTCAGCCAGCTCACCTTTTGATTTACCAAATTGTGGGAGCTCAATTCTATATGGGTTATAAAATGTTTCAAACAGTATTATATTTGTTAAATGAAATATGGTATAAATACCAAAGAAATTAACAGAAAGACAACGCTACACGTTGCTGTACAAAAACTAAGATTTTGTTTGCCTACACGTAAAGTGTTTGCATGACGTCAATGGATTACGCAGTGTACCTTGTATACTGCGTAATCCATTGACGTCATGCAAACCCTATACGTGTAGGCAAGTTTATCCTTTGAGAATGTTTAGACTTGTTTATAATCTTATTCAGTTACTGTTTCATTTTAAAATAAATGATAATTTTTTAGATTCTTATGGTTTGAACGTTGTACATGATGAAACAGTTGAAATAAATTATAATGCGTTATTTACATTGCTAAAATTTGAAGCAAATCCTAATACCTTTGAACATGATTAAGTTAATAAGCAATACATACAACTAATCGATTTGAAAATTATGAGATACGCAGCATTTTATTAATAAAAGTATTAAATAACCAACAAGATGTTTATTTAAATTAAGTTTTTTGCATTATGCAGCAGTTGAAGACAAATACCAAAACTTTACAAAATATTCAGATGATTTCTATAAAGATAAAATAGGATTGACAACAGAATGGCATCAATATTTAATTGAAGAAAAACTGCATACAGTTTATTTTTAAAAACCTGAACAAAGCGTTTAATTATCGTCATACTTGATGGGGGAAAAGGCGCTTTTTTCAACGTTTAAAAAGTATTGACCAGACGGGATTTATTTTGTTAAAGAGCTTGTCAGGTAATTTTTAAGAAATGTCCTCTTAAACCAACTGAGTTTTTTAAAAATGAAGCTAAACATGCCATGGAGTTTATGAAGAAAATAATAAAATAATAAACATCTTTTAGATCATTTACTGTCATAAGGTAGTTTACGAAAAGGTGAGTGAAATTTACAAGAAGATTAAAAACGAGAAGATGTAAAGATTAAAGTACCAAAAAATTGTGACTATATGTGGATATCAGACGCATTTAGTGATAACTGAATATCTTTTAGTAATACCAGTGAAGTTCATCCATCCTTTACTCAATTTAAAGTTGATAAAATAATGTTACTTTACGAACATAATTTGGTTCTATTATGATTAATGCAACATTTCATTGCAATGGTAAGTGCAACATTTCACTTAAGAGCCTAAATGTATTTTACAACATTGTACACAAGTTTACTGACAACTTTTATTTTAAAACTTTTATTTAATTTCTGATGATTTTGTTCGATTTAGATTTTTATGATATAAAAAAAAGATTCCTAACAAAATATAAAAATATATAAAAATTATTCAATTGATAATGTTTATAAGTTTTTGGAGATCTAAATTGACATTCTTTACATTATAAGTAGTTCTAATGACATTTTCATCAAGGAGAACACCTAAAAATTTCGTTATCTTTTTTTTTATATTGTAATACATTTGAGAGCTTTCGGGAAACTTTATCTCTTTGTTGAAGGCGATAAAAAAATGCTATACAAAGTTTTGGTTAAGTTCAATGAATGTTTATTTGTGTTAAACCATTTTTTTAGACTGCTTTGTAGGCTGCCACAAAAGGCTAAACCCAGGAAAATCCATGAATATTTTTAAAAAAGTTAGTCGAAAAAGGGTAACACATTAAGATAATGGTGGGGTAGAAGGGGGAGAGATAAAAAAGAGGTCAATAAAAATTATTAATAAACCAGTAATTTTACAAACTCTTTAAATTAAAAGGCTCAAACAGTGTTGCATTATAAATGCCATTACGGATACACACCAGCTCCTGGTTTTTACAGTTTCAAATTAAATTTTTAAAAAGAAATTACAGTTTTAAACCCAAATATTTGAACCCGAGTTCTTTATTATAAAGAATATTCTTCGTTTCTAAAAAAGAAGATAGTACACAAAATAAAATAGTACACAAAGGAAGATAGTACACAAATACAAATTACCTAAAAAACTATTTAAGTTTACATAACATATTGGGCACCAAAGGTATACCTTATTCATCTATGAATACATGAATACATGGGTGGATCGGCGATGAATATAAGTCTAGTTGAAAATAGTATAAAAATTATTTCATCAACTTGTTGCTCTCACGTTTGGGGCAGGGGCGCGAAAATTTTGGGGCTTTTTTGTTTCCAACCTCCAATCATTGCAATTTTTTGCAAAGCATCCTTATTTGAAATAAGTATAAACATATAAAAGTTTGAAGTTTGCTCCATGTCTGGAAGTTAGCAATCTCAAAGACCAAAAAATGCTGGTACCGCCCCTGTATGAATATCTTTTTAAAATGACATTAAATATGGCAATAGTATTAAACTCATTTCAGTTTTAAACAAAAGATTTTTCAAAAAAAATACTATTTTATAAATTTTGCGGAATTTTTACAATGTTTTTAAATTTGAAAATGTTTAATATTATATATTCTTTATTTATCTGTGACTATATTTAAAATTAGATTAATATAAAACCTATTATTATATATTCAAACTATGAACTATAGTGACTCTATAAAAATATTAGGTTGGTACTTTGACGCATATATCTTCTTTGAGCTCCGGTTAGCTTATTATTTAAATATTTGTAATTAAATAAAATTTAATTAAAAATATATAATCTTACATCTATTTAGAAATACACGTAATATTACGACGTTTCAATGTCATAATGTTACATTTAGAGGAAAGACGCCTATGATAGAATACTTAACTATGAAGCTGCAACATTCAATATCTTGAAGACCGAGAGCAAAAGATTTTTTATGGATACGTTTTTTGTTACTTGTAGAACAATAATAACCCTAGGAGTTTTCATCAGTTTTATTTTTTTTTATTAGTTATTTTTATTTTTTAAAAAAAAGCACAAGTATGCCATCATTGGCAACTACTGTTCCTATGATGACATAGGGGAGGATGTGGCTGGTAGGCATCAAGGGTAGCTTGACCATTTCATTTGAACTTAGAATCTTTCCTCAGAAATGCCAGAAATTACGCGTAATCATCCTAATTAACCCTTTTGTACTACACAGCAGCAGAGTAGAATTTCGCGCATGCGCATAAGAGATATTGCGTATTATATATTTTGAACCAAAAACTTTTTATTGAAGTAAAAGTTTCTTATTTTTTCACTAACAAATGCGTTGTTTTTATGAAAAAAAAAGGTTTTCTCAATTCGTCAGTATTGCAACACACCTAACTCGTCAGTATGCCATCACACGAAGGATTCATCATTTTTATTTAAACAAGCTATGTGTGTCTTATTCAAATAATAAAATTAAAATAAGCATTCCACTAAATGCACAAATCTTGGAAATAAAATGCATGAAAATTTCGTTTCCGCACAGTTAACAATAAAATCTCAATCTTAAATATTTAATGGGATAAAAAATACAACAGCACATCGCAAAATCAATTTTTGTTGATTATAAAAGCAATATTTGTGCGTAAGGGACGTATTTTTAATAAAACTAATGTAAAGTCAGTATAGATATGTTGGTCTAATCACTTTTTCGCCGTAACTAATATTTATGAAAATATGACTTGTATGCAATCATAGACGCTATGCCTTCATAGGCGTCTTTTCCCTATATAGAAATAAATGCAGCATTATGACATTGTGGGACACTGCACATTGCAACAAATGCATTGTGGGACACTGCCCAGTATGACAAATACAGTATTGTGGGACACTGGCACAAGCTTGGAAGCTACCTTAGCCAAAAATTCCTATCAGACCTATCGGACTTATAGGATTTTGGAACAAAAAAAAGACAAAACTTTGATAACTATTAACACTTTTTAAGTTTTGTGTTTTAATTTAATGGGGTTTAAATCTGAAGTTTTTTTTTCCAAATTCTTTTGGTATTTTTGACTAGGGTAGAGCATACAAAAAAAATTTAAAAAGTAAATAAAAAACATTAACATTTAATTCAAAAATTCAATGAAGCTTTTTTTTTTTTTTTTAACGTCTTCGCTCCCAACAAGGCTGAAAGCAACCACTAATTAGAGTTGGAAGTTACTGGAAGAGAAAACATGAAGATTGTAGAGCAAGATAACAATTGAAAGACGACTTAAAAGATTGCAAAATATGAATCAGGAAAGCAAGATGAAGGAAGCGAATTCCAAAGAACTGATGTTGGGGGAAAAAACTAGACAAATAAGAGTTTTTGGAGCACTTAGGAACAGTAATAGAAAAAGGATGAGACTTAATTGAATGACAAGTAACGCCATAGTGAGTTTTAGTAGATGGCACAAGAGACGCTAGCTCTTTCGAGCAGTGCCCATTATAGTATTTGTAGAAAAGAGAAAGAGAAGCAACATTACGACGATGTGACAGAGGTTGAAGGTTGGCTGAATGAAGGTAGCAAATCCTAAAGAGCTGATGTTCGAGGAAAATAATAGACTAATAAGAGTTTTTGGAGCACTTAGAAACAGTCACAGAAAAAGGATGAGACTTAATTGAATGAGGAATAACACGAAAATGAATTTTAGTCGACGGAACAAGAGAGGCTAACTCTTTAGAGCAGTGCCTATTATAGCATTTGTGGAAAAGAGATAATGACTAAATATGAAAATGGTTAAAGGTTAGCTGCAAGAGCAGGTCCAACTATGTTTACAAAGCGTTTTTGTACCTTGTCTAAAAGCGAAAGGGCATCATTAGAAGATTTGCCCCAAATATGGCAACAGTATTCCATACAAGGCCAGATTTGAGATTTATAGAGATAGAGAATAGAATCCGAAGTAAGAAAGTGTCGAGTTCGATAAAGAGATGCAACCTTAGCAGATGCTAATTTTGTGACAGATTTGGTATATTGTTTCCAAGAAAGATTGGAAGTAAGGGCTAATCCTAGAAGGTGAAGGGTAGATGACTCATCGAGTACATTACCGTTCATAAATATAGAAAGATCGAAATTATGGCAATAACGATTGACTGAAAAAAATTGATTTTTATCTGAACTAAAGTTCACCAGCCACTGTGAGCACCATGCTGTAGAAGAAGTGAGATCCTTTTCAAACTTAAATGCCCTCTCCAAACAACCAGAGAGTGTTGGCTTCTTATTAAGACAAGAATAAATGTTTGTATCATCGGTGAGCAATGCCATCTTAGCTGTGAAAATATCTGGAAGATTGTTAGTGTAAATTAAAAACATTATAGGGCCAAGGATTGAGCCTTGAGGAATCCCTGAAGTTACAGAATAAGAAGAAGAGTGTTATAAGAAGAATGACAACTTTTATAGTACGATTAAAAAGAAAGGATTCAATAATCTTAAAGATGTTATCAGATACACCGTAAGAAGAAAGCTTATGGAGAAGACCAGCATTCCAAACTTTATCAAAAGCTTTAGAAATGTCAAGAGCGATGGCCTTAACCTCTCCACCTTTATCTAATGCACGATAAAACCTATCAGTTATTATTGTTAGCAAATCAGCTGTAGAACGAGAAGATCGAAATCCATATTGATGATCAGAAAGTCTATTTTGATAGTTTTTTGTTTCTTTGTGTGGTAATAATAGTAACAGATCTATGATGACAGGAATTAGTTTATACTTAAATCTCTTATTTTACAGTAATCATTTATTGTTTTGTCATCAGCTTGTGTTAAAAATATCCAAATGAATTTTCATCAATGGATAATTTGTTAGCAGTGTCTGAGTTCACATATTTTGTAGACTCGTGAAAACTAAAAGATGATCTTGTTAAGAAAAAATTATCATATGTGTATAAAGATTTTGTATGGTCTGGTTCTCTTTGTGTCTGATCAAAGACTTATCATTGTATGTTTGCATTCTTGTTCTTTCAGCTGTGCGTTTAAAACAAGGTCCATGTTATGACAGAACGATTGGTTCTTTCAGGAAATATTAACTTATATATAATCTTATAACATATTTCAACCTGCATCATAGGATATTCTAAATTTGTTGTTTTGATAAAACAAACCCTATACATCCATATAAACTCAATCATTATTTACCTCAAGCTTTCATTCCAGGCATAAATTCTTCTATATTAAAAGTCGTTTGAAGTGTAAATTATTAAATAAAAAAGTTATTGCGCTAAACAATTATTATTTAAAAAAAATGTAATTATGTTAAAAAATGTTTTTATATAAAAAAAATGTTATTGATATTGCATTTATTTATTATAATCAATATAGAGTTTATTATTTTAATCATTGGCGATAACAGTGTGTCTGCTAGGTCAAGAAAATCAGGTAAAATTTATTAAACTTAGATGTCTCAAAAAAATCAGTGAATAATCAAAGAAATCTGAATTTTCAGGTTGAACTTTCACCACCGACCATTTCTTTGTGTTGATGTTTTTTACATATAAAAATAATTTTAACATAAAGTTGCGTAACGTTTCTCCTGGTCTATTTGGAAACTCACGACTCATTTGGAAACTCACGACTACGAATAGAATTTTAACCCTCTTATTAAGATTATTCTTATTTAAAAATCAAAACAGGACACACGGTCACGGGGACCTAGTTATGTCAAATAAGTTAGTTCTATCTGTTTTACATTTTTTATAGAAACTTTTCTATAATAAACTCTCAACAAAATGTTTTAACTAATTTAATTTTTTAAGTAATTTTTATTATCGGTTTTAACAAATATTAAATTATAATAGATATTATTTGTGCTGAAAATCGGCACATAAACTACACTTAATGCAAATGAAAACCATCTAGATCGTAATAACCAAGGTGATAAAAATAAAATAAATTTCCATTCACATATAAAACTATAACGGAAATAAAAACAAAGCCAAAATGGCCAATATACCCATACAAAATAGTTCAAAAATTTTTAGTTTCGTGGTTGCATAAATGTCTATATAAAATTTATTATTAATAAGTTAGGCTTATACATTGCATTTAGGGTAAGGTTGCCGATATTGTACCCTCAAAGAATAAAGTCAAAAATAGAAAAAAATACAAAGTAGAAACAAAGAGACTTTATTGTATATTATAATTTGGGGATGAACCGTTCTAAAAAAGTTGAAACATGTCTAAATTTAAACGTTGGTATTTGATAGGGAACTAAATTTAAAAAAATATGCTATCGGTACAATTAAGGAAACAAGATCCTAAATCGTACTATTATAACCCAATATTTTATCTATGTCTTGATTTTACAAATTCTATATTAATTTACAGCACATTGTAAACGATTTTTGTAAAGATCTTTTTCTATGATCTTTTTTTAAAATATAAAATGTTTGGTATGTAAATAAGTTTTGAATTTAATAAGTTTTATTTAATAAGAATTTAATAAATTTTGAAAATTTTCAAAACAATCGGCATTGGCCGATGGTTATCAAGGCCGATGTCAATGCCGATGCATCGGCTAAATGGCCGATACATAGGCAGGCCGATACCGATGCAACTGCGGAACGTTTGTTAGACGTTCTAAGAACATCACAGAGACTTTGACGGCGTTGTGTAAATATCTTTTGGATGTGTGTGCTTGTTGGGTTAAAGCAAAATGATTTATTGATAAGTTAAAGTCAATGCTCTCAGCAATCTCACATTCGATTAACATCCCAGCCAACATTGACAGACGGGTACCGTATGGTTTTTGTCTGGGCTTACGGGAACGGGATTTTGACGGGTAAGTGTTTTGGTTTCCAGACGGGTCCCATATGGTAATAAAATCAAGCATATTTGCTCGTTAGGGTTTTATCAGGGCCGAATAACCTGGGGATTTGACGGGTTTCCCATAAGGTTCCCAAAAGGTTTTAAAAAAATCATACTCGATGGTTGCCATTTATAATTCGTATTGTGCGTGAAATAAGATAAAAAATTTAACTTTTATGCATTTTTTGAATAC